AGCCCAGCCGGGGCCCAGACGGCACAGTCACCGGACACAGCACTCAGGTGATGTCCCAGGCCCTGGGCTCACTGAGGGGCAGACAGCGCCCCCCCCAGGCCACAGGGTCATCGGAGCAGGGTGGATGCAACGACCCAGAGGTCGGGGCTCAGACTCCTTGCAAATGGACCAGCACTTCCACCTCCAGTGGAGGGAACCATGACTCCCGGCTTCCCCACAGCTGACAGACGCCGCTCGTGACCCCCACAGGGCGTCTGGTCAGTTCACTCCCAGGGGAGGCCCTCAGAAGCCCCAGCATGGGGTGTGACTCGGGCACCCGGATGGCAGGCGTGGTCCCGAGACCCTCCGAACAGGGAAGGGACAGCCCTGCCCCTGAGTGGAGACTGCACCGTCCTCTCTGTGAAACATCCCCTCAGCACAGGACAGGTGACAGGCGTGCCCGTGACAAGCAGCGACGGACCCCGGCACTGCAGAGAGGTCTGCTTTCGGGCCCCTCACTGCCCGTTTTTATTCCACAGTAAAACTTGAAGTGACCGTCTGTTTCTGAAATAAACTGTAAACAAAGCGGCTTGCAACTCCCGGAGACGGGCGGAGGGCGCCGAGCGGGGTGGGGATTCGCATTTTCCGCGCCGGCGGCTTCCCCCGTGCGGCCGGGCCGGGCGCTCGAGACCTCGGGACGCGGAGTGGGGGTGGGGGGCGCGGACCTCGGCAGGCGGCAATGTCATGCTTCCCAGGCCCTCTCCCGGCAACGGCGTGAATGAGGGGGGAAACCGGTTGCCTAGGAAACCCTCTCGTCCTGGTAATTATTACTGTAACTGACTGCACACCCCACCTATAACAGAAATGAATAATAATTTGTAAGCGCTGACTGGCAGCTCTCGGTCGGGGCCGCTGCTCGCCGCTGCCCCCTACTGGCGTGCACGAGGGTTACACGGCCGGAGGGGCTGGCAGGACACGGACCACGCGGCCCAAGGGCCCGCCTCCCCCACCCTCCTCTCTGGCTTCTGAACACAGTTCCAGCAAATCGCTGCCCGATCAATAGAGGGAAATGAAAAGTGCTCTGTGTCCGCGTCTACAGTGGGGGCTGGACAACCTAATGGCAGTCGGTCATCGCAATTAAAAGCCATTTCATATTGGGACACGAACCGGCCCCAGAAAAGGTACTTAATAAGGCGGACAGAAGCTGAGTGACAGCGTGCATTGCAATGACGGCCCCCCGCCCACGTGCGACTCCGGGGCCGTTTCACAGTATAGGATTTGATGCTGAGCAAAATGGCTATCAATGAAATCCTATCTGGTAGTTCTGATGAATTAAACTACGTAATTAACAAAGACGGTCCGTTTGTCCTCGGCCATCTAATCGGGTTCCTGTACTGGAAGGCCAGTCTGTTTAGAAAGGAGAAAATCCGCAGCGATTTACTGGGTTTGATTTAAAAGACACAGCAGGAGCTGGCAAAATTCACGTTTCGTGGGGTTAATGTGGGTGAGAATGCAGCTATTTGTAACACAGAAATATCGCGCGCCAGATAAACTCCTCCGACGTCTCCTCGCCCGGAGCCGCTCCGCGGAAGTCGGTCCTCGGCTGAAATGAGCATCGACCAAGCTGCCTTCGCCGCCATCCGGACTGAGCGCGCCGCTTCAGGTCCGCGAGGCCAGACGAGGCCACGTGGGCGGCGAGCCCAGTGCAGGGCCAGGGGCCGGGCTGCTCCGCCGGCACCCCACTCAGAGGACTCGCGTTGCCACGGAAGAAGTGCGGGCTGGCCCACAGCTCCACGCGCTCGACTCCCAGATTCTGTCTGTTTACCAGTTCAGAAGAAAGAGGACAATGCCCCAAAGGTCACTGAAGCTATTAATGTCGCCCAGATGCAGGGAGTGAAGGGCAGTAGTGGGGACACAGCCCTTCCACGGTGGGGACCCTCAGGTCCTTCAGTCACTGAGACCCGGGGCATCGGGAATGTCTCCAGTTACATCCGGTAAACGCGGAAGTTCCCGCCCAACCCCTACTCAGTTGATGACCTTGTAACATAAGTGATTTCCCAAAACCATTTTGGAAATCAGGTTTGTGTTTTCCTGCCCCCCATCAGTGCCAGGGAGGATCACTGCCTGCGCCTCCCCTCGCTTTTCAGAAACCAACACGCTCCCAGGCACATGCCCTAACTCCTCAGAGACGCTGCGGGGCCCCTCCCATGGGGCTGCGTTCTGAACCTCAGCTTGGGACGGGATCTGAGCAGCCCCACTGGTGACAGTGGAGTAGCCAACAGCGTCGGAGTGGCCAGGAGGAACATCTCAACGTGACGAGAAAGGCACCCACCTCTGTGATCCCCCCCAAAACGGAAAAGCCCAACCCATCCCAAGGCAATGCTGGGCAAACCAAACCAAGAGGCGTCCCCGCTAAGTTCCTGGTCCAGTCCTCAACCAGACTCTCAGGGTCATGGGGACAGGAAACGGAGCAAATGTCACAGGGAGTGACAGAAAGAAGCAGGCACGGGAGGCAGGAAGGACGGACGGCTGCTCCTCTGGTCATCGCTTCTGGAGCTGTGACCCTCGGAACCACCAGGACTCCCCAAAACAAACCATTAAAACCGAAGCAAGACGTGGCAGGAACCCAAAGTGGGACTCGCCAGACAGTGTGACCAGGGAGGGGCAGGTGAGCGACAGAACGGCCTGGGTCACCCCGGAAAGGTTTCTTGGCCCACCCCCGCCAGAAGTTGAGGGAAAGGACGGAACAGGAAGAGTGTAACACTGTTCACGAAGGCGCATTCCTGGGGTAGGGTGAACACCATGCACTTTAAGCAGATCCCGGACTTGCAACAGTGAGTGAATACATTGTAAACGGTGCGGCCGGGCTGTCAGTTGCTAGAGAAGGAAACGAGACACAACGTTACACTCTCGGTTTTCAGTCACACACACACACACAGGGGCAAACACACAGGCTGTGTGCCCCTCCGCAAGGCCTAGCAGGGACGGCACCCACAGCACACGCACACCCGTGTGAAGAGCCTGGCTCCTGGACAGCGTCCTGCAGGAAGGGGGGCACGGGGTTCCCGGAGGCGGGGAGCAGGTACGCCGGCACCCCACCGTGGTGTCAGGGCGAGTGTCTGGGAAAGGGTGGGGTCCCACCGAGGGAACTCGGAGCCAGCTCACAGGAGGTGCTCACGGTCAAAGGCAGAATAATCTGGGCACACAACACGGTAGCAGTGAATCGTAACACAGAGTAAAATAAACACCCGCGGCCGCATCCACACAGTCGAATATGGAAAGGAGTAGAGGCGGGGGAGGTGGGGCTCCGCATGACGGAAGAGGCCTGGGACACATGCGCAGGGAAGGGCAGGTCGGAGGGTCACCCCCGGGCGCGCAGTGTGGGGCGGCAATCACGGACCAGACCCGCCCATCAGCAGAAGAGTGACAGGACTCGGGTTCCAGGGGCACAGGAGAGCCACTGGGTCTCGAAGGGGGGGGTCTCCCACAATGCTTCCTAAGTGCCCGGGGGGAACAGTGGCCTTACAGTGGAGAAACCCGGCAGGCTCCGCCCTGCACCGGGGACCGAGGTGACTGCAAACGGACGACAGAGTCCGCACGAGGACCCCAGGGTGGGTCCCAGGCACGAGCCTCTCGACAGATGCTGTTCTGGTCACCAAACCTCACTCCGATGGCTCCGCGCTGAGGCTGCCCCAGGATGAGGCCCAGCGTGCAGACCGGCCAGGCCAGCGCTCCAACCACGCCCGTCCTGGGAGCCGAGGAACACGAGGAGCCGTCAGGGGTCGGTGCGGATCCAGGAACGGAACGGCAGCAACTGCAGGGGGGGGGGCGCAGCCAGAGAGGGTCCTGTCACCGGGGAGAGGGGCCCCGGGTGAACGCGTGGGGAGTTCAGGAAGGCGTGTCGCCGAGTGAGGAGCGCCGCCAAGGGGCCGATGGGATGGACTCCGGCGTTTGCGCGTGCGCGGCGTCAGTGTGCGGAGCCGGAGGGGGCGGCGGGCGCGCAGGACCGCAGGGCCGAATGCGCGCTTTTCCTGTAGCTCTGAAATGGGCTCAGACAGGCTTTCAGTCCACTGATTCGCATCAGCTGCAGACACGGGGTGCCGTGCGCCCCACCGGCCCCCCCCCCCGCTGCAGCCGGCAGCACGTGGTCTCCTGCCAGCGCGTCTAGGGGACCAGCCCCCCACTCCCGAGGAGCAGCAACTGCGTGCACAGCGGGCTCCGGGCGAAGCTCCGGAGAGGGAGCATGACGTGGTGACCCTGCACGTGCACAAGGCCCACTGCGGCCGCCCCTCCCAGCACAGTGCCCCGCTCCCCGCGGGGCTGGGGTTTTGCAGGGGTGGGCAAGAGAAAACCAGCCTTAACCCGAAAACGCGCGCCGCTGACAAATGTGAAGAACACATCCTGCCTTTTCAGGGGCGGTCTCCCGCAATCGGTCCTGGGTTCTGAGTTGTCCGCGGGCTTCGGGGGGGTCAGGCTCACCCACGATTGTGGAAACGCATCTTCACGAAACTTGATGGTCGTGCTGTTCCAGCTGCAGAGAGCGCCCACTTTTCTAGGACGTGGTCCCACTCCGTTTTAGCAAGGATTCGTTAAAGAAGCTGGGGACAGCCTCCCCCCGAGTGGCCGTGGACAGGGGAGGACGAGGGCCAGGTCCCGAGAGCTCCGTGTCAGTGCACACGGAGCCAACGAGCGGCCCTGGCAGCGTGACTTTGTACAACACATTTTCTGTATTTCAGGGAGTTTGGCTACAAGTAAATAGGTTATCTCAGCTACTTCCAAATAGGAAAGAAGCCTTGGAGAACGAAGTCTGGAAGAGATCAGAACACGGAATCCCTCGGTTTAAGAATCTTCCTTTGAGGGTGAAGACGACCCCCCCCACGACAGAAAACCTGCGGAAACCACACACAGCGGGAAGTGCCCACGGAACCGCGAGGACTCGACGCGTGCGCTGCGTGTAGGAAACTCGCGAATCACAGACGTTTCCTTACTCAACTCTGAGTCATAAAGTTCACGTTTCGAGAGCAAGTTTCATAAAATTTTTACTCGAAAAAAACGTTTTACAAAATACCATTCTCCCGACCAAAGAAACTTTCCCGTGGGCTCCGTGCGGCTTCCTGCCTTCGAGGTCACAGAATGACGGACAAAGGGGACAGGGTCCTTGCACAGCCGCCAAGCTGCAAAACCTACAAGAAGTAGATTTTTTTAAAGTGCCTTCAAAATGCTAAAGCAAGTAATATAATTCTTGAATCTATTTGAAGTTTTTAGTTTCCTTAAAATGGTCCATATGGTGTTCGCACATCACAGCTGGTGCGAAACTGCCTGCGTTCAGTTCGACACAGGGACACGCTGCACACGAACAGGTTCTCTGAAGCCACCGGGAGAGGCCGCCACTGCACCGCGAGGCCAACTGGGACGCGTGTGCAGGCAGCGTGCGGGGCAGGCCGGGCAGGCGGGGCCGGCGCCACCGGCAGGGGCGGGAACCTGCTCCGAGTCGGCCCCGCCCCTCGCCTCCCGCTCCAGGGAGCGCGTCCAGGACGCGCAGGGCACACGAGAGCCGGGCGTTCGTGCTCGAGTCCCCTTCCTCGGCAGGGCCTAGTTTTTCTGCTGCAATCTGGCAGCTTTGAACTTGGACACCCTCTTTGTAACTGCTTCTGATGCTTCCGACAGAACTTCCTTCCGCTCGGGAATGGGGGGCAGCAGAGGGGGAGCCCCGGCCGGGCGCGGGGCCGAGCAGGGCGGCCGCACGTCCTTCTCGATCACGGCTCCAGAGAAAGCCTGCAAGACAAGGGCAGGGCGCTGCAGTAACAGGCAAGCGAGGCGCCCACAAAACCCTCCACCCTGTGTTGCCAACTACATGTTTCATTACAAGTAAATGCAGCCCTGGCTGGGGTGGCTCAGTGGATTGGGCACCAGCCTGCAAACCAAGGGGTTGCCAGTTCAATTCCCCATCAGGGCACGTGCCTGGGTAGCAGGTCAGGTCTCCAGATGGGGGCATGCGAGAGGCAACCACACATCAATATTTCTCTCCCTTTCCTCTCTCTCCCTCCCTCCCTCCCCCCCCTTTAAAAACATAAACAAAAACTTTAAAAAAAAATTTTGTAAGATTTTTGGATTAAAAAAACATCAAAATACAAATCGTCCAGAGAAATCAAATACCATTAAAATATCTTAATCACACCAAAAGTGAGTCTGTTTTCCAGGACACGTACAAAAACCAAATGGTAAAGCACCTTCCATTTACCGAACCCAGGTAAACAGAGGCCCTTGGCTTCTGTACACTCCACCGGTGCCCGCACTGTGAAAAACAAGGCCTCACAAGCAACACCCGCCTCGGTGTCGGGCAGCAGCTGGCGAGGGCGCGGCGCAGGGCGGGGGTCACTGCCCGCAGCCCCCAGCCAGCTCAGCAGCAGGGCCCCCTCCCAGGCGGCACCAGCCGAGTGACCCAGCGTCTCGCCTCCACTTCCTCTGCGAGTGGAGACTGAGAGAGGACAGTGTCGGCTCAAACGACTGCACGGACCCCAGGGACGGGAGACAGAGGCGCCGCCACAAATGAGTCTCTCTGGTCCCGGCTGCCGGCATCTCCGGTCAAGTGGGCGTTTCACTGGAGCAGAAGCCACGCGTGCAGAGACGTGTCCACACGTGCCACTTTACACAGGGATCTACAGAACCACGGAGGTGTCATGACGGTTTTTAAACGACTTCTGGTCTCCAGAACCGCCCCCTTCCACCATCGAAGAGCCCGCTCGCTGCGCACCAAAGAAAACTCGGCGCTGCCAGCTCTCGCCTGTGCGAGCAGCGTGCGGAGACGGCGCACGCCCTGCAGCGCTGGTTTTGAACTGTTACCGAAAAGGGCCTGGGGTTCGCCGGGTCCTACGACCTCGAGGGTAAGTGTGTGTGCCCGGGAGAGCCCCAGGGGGGAACAAGTGAGGAGTAAAGCACAGGGGCTGAGACCAGTGCAGGCGGCACCCAGGGGACAAAGCGGCCGTGCCTCTAACACAGGAGTGGAGGCCTCGTGAAGGAGCATCCTTCTAATTCCGTCAACTAGTGTCTCCGACAAACACGATGAAACCTCCTTTAGAAAAAGGAAATACCCACCGAACACCAGCTGTCCCCTGGGAAGTGGGGACCGTGGACAACCCGTGCCCTCCCGTGTGCGGCCCCGTGACCAGGCCGTCACCCGCACCTGCACCTCGGGCGGCCCCGCCGGGGGCGCGGGGCTGTGCGGCCGGCTCTCCTGCCCCTCCTCCAGGATGCTCTCGCTGGCATCGCCGCCCGCGGCCTCCTCCCAGCTGAGGCCCCGCAGCGGCCCGCGGCGCTCCTCCAAGTCGGCCGCGCTGCTCTCGCTGGTGTCGCTGCAGACGCTGTTTTCCCGGCTGCGTGACTTCAGGATGGACTTCCGGGGGACATACTCGCCGTTCACGAGGTCCACGAAGACCCTGCAAGGCCACAGAGCGCGTTCACGCCAGGGGCGCAAACTGGGAGACGCGAGTGAGCCCCGGGGACGACCTTTTCCAGAACTTAGTCTGGACTGGTTTGCTCAGACTTCTGTCTGAAATGTTCACAAAGTGCCCCTGTGGCCTCAAATGGCCCATCACAGATGCCGTTTGAAACAACAACTGGGGCCCAGGGAACCCAGCGCCCTGTTCCCAGACAGGCCCTGGGTGACCGCGGCAGACTTGCCCAAAGCCCACTTACAAGCGGGCCCTGCTCAGAAGACAGTTCACAATTTCCACGGTCTCACAAACACACTGTGAGTACAGTCTCAGCAAACACGCCACCAGAGCTGGCGGGCCACCCGCCCACCCCCAGGGACACACACCCTCCCTCCCCACACTGACACCCTGCACCTCTGCTGGACCGACCCAGAGGACGTGAGTGCAGGCCAGGAGGGGGAGCGAGGCTGGGCAGCGGGGCGCGCGGAGGCCCCGCCCTCACCTGTAGATGTCCGCCGGGGTCCTGATGGTGGGCAGCTCGGGGGCAGGGTGGCCGCCGCCACAGCTGTTCTTCCGCTTCCGCTTGGCTTCCTCCTTCTTTTCACTGAACTTCAAAGTGGTATTTTTTCCAGTATTTATTCGAACCTAAAAACGCCACGGCAAAGTATTACAATCCTCCTGAGAAATGAAGCCCAGGTCAAAACTAAGCCCACGCCCCCCCAACTTGGGACAGGACAGGAAAAGAGCCGGCATCTCCAGTCGTGGGCGCGACGTGCGGGGCCCCGGGACCGCCTCCCTGCACCTCCGCAGACTGGACCACCCCCAGAGGACCGTCCATCTGCTGTCATAGCCGGCTCCGGTCTGCGGTGACGCCGCTCTTCTCCAGAGGGCAACACAAAGGGACCCAGGAACAGGCCAGGTGGCCGGGTGGTGGGTCACACGCGCACACTTCAGCAGCACGCCCCTGCCACAGGGCTGTCCCGCGCCACCCTCAGCTGGAGGCGGCTCCTTCTCGGTTAATGACCCGTGGCCAGGAACGCACGGCGTCCACGGTGTCTCAGGTCACACGACACGACGCCCACGCAGGGCTGACGGACCCCTCCCCTCGAACGGGTGACGTGACCCCTGGCAGTCCCCGAGTACTCTTCCCTGCGGGCTCTGTGAGCACCTTCTTTACCCCGCAGCCTGCACCGTGGGAACACGGCAGGCAACACGCACACGCAAAGTGCACACTAACCGGCTGTCCCCAGGTGTCTCGGTCACAGGAAGCAAGTCCAGGGAGGGACAGGTCCCGCTGCACCCCCACCTGGACGCAGGCTTCGGGCTCATCACGCATTTTAAACCAATGGCACGACTTAAGAATATAGACTTTAAGTCACAAAAACATTGCACAGTGCTTAAGTTTAAAATTTTTAAGCGCCTCTGATGTTTAGAGACAGAACTGAAACCCGAACCCAGCCCCGCTGAGGCCCGAATGCTGTCCCGATGCCCCCCAAGGGGGCCCGCACTGCCCCCCCATCCCATCATTTTCCCCAGAATTCAGAAGATGCTCCCTTTCATCTGAACTACAATATTTTAAAAACCAATGATCTCACTTCGCATTAGAGCAGGGACCACTCAGGGGCCCTGGGAAACACCCCCACGTTGTAAACATGTCTCATGGGACACACCCCACCGCCCCCAGGACCCCAGAGGCCGCGCCCTGAGGGGTGCCCCAAGGAAAAGGAGCGCTGGCCGAGGCGGGGGGCCCTCGGATCGGACCGAACGGCTCCATGGCCCCCAGGCCCCACACTGCTCCGGGGAAGACAATGAGAGAGGCCGGCGGCGGGGCCCCGGGGCCGGCAGACAGCAGGGGACGGGTTTGGGTGCCATCCTTCCTCCCCGTGAGCCCCCTGCACCCGCCAATGCCAAACACCAGAAGAAAGTGTTTGGCATTGGCGCCAAACGGAGGGAGCCCCCTGTACCCTCCGAGAGGCCCACGCAACCTGGCCACCGAGGAGCAGCTCAAAGCCCCCCCACCCATGGAGACGCCTCCAGTTGCCCGGCGCTAGAGTGCCAACTTCAAGTCTCGACCACCCACAGGGGTTTGTATTTGCTTTGTCAGGAAAGAGGGTAATTTTCACTTCGTCCTGAATTGCCCCCCTGTTCACCATGTTCCTGTCCAGTTTCTGCCCGTGCAGAACAGCAGCCTGCTGCTAACTACAAGTTTAACTGATGCAGTCACTGTCCAACGTCCCGAACACACCCAGACGCCCACAACAGAATCTACGCTGGAATTTCTAAGAACACTCTGGAAGTGGAGGCCAGGCAGAGTCAAAATAGTTGCCGCTGACCGGATCCCCCTGCCCCAGCTGGTGTGGCTCAGTGGATTGAGTGCCAGCCTGTGAAGCAAAGGGTCTCAGGTTCGATTCCCAGTCAGGGCACGTGACTGGGTTGCAGGACAGGTCCCCGGTAGGGGGTGCTCAAGAGGCAACACACTGTTTCTCTCCCTCTTTTTCTCCCTCCCTTCCCCACTCTCTAAATAAATAAGTAAATTTTTTTTTTAAATAGGAAAAAAAAGAAATCTGAAACCCTTCCAGACCCCGCTCAACCCCAACCCCAGTGAAGCTGCTGAGAACAAGGGCCCAACACCAGTTAGCTTTTTAGACTATTTTTTCCCTTCTTCTTTTTAGGTAAATTGGTCAGAAAAAAGGCAAAGATGGTTTTGGGCCGCCACGTTCACCACCGTTAATGCCGTTCTTTAACACACGTGGCAGACGCTGTGTGACATTCCAACCACACACCCAATGAGCAGAATGAAGAGCGTACGAACCCTCTTGGGCTCCACAGTGTGGGAGAAGTGAATCGTCGGGACAGAGCCGCGTCCAGCCCCTGGAGCGTGGTGCACAGGCTCACTGTCATCGCCATCGTCCTCCTCGTCCTCCTCGTCGTCCTCCTCCTCATCACTGTGGTAAGAACTCAGCCCATTCACGGAGCAGTGTGCGTGACCGTTCACGCGACCGCTGAGCAGCCCGGGGTCTGCGGCGTCCCCGTCACAGCGGCCGGGAGCCGGGGCCCCGGGGCGCGGCCCGTGCACTTCTCCGCTCTGCTCCCCCTTCTCCTCCTCAGAAGACAGGGCGTCCTCTCCGTTCGCGGTCACAGGACCGGGCTCGCTGGGAAAAAAAGGGGGAAAGAGGAAAATCGAACACGGAATCTTACATGTTCCGATTTGCAGCTCATTTCCTTGGGGAGAAGTTGAGACTTTCAACAGGGTACTTTCGCGGCTAGAATTCGAGGTGAGTGAAGATTTTCTGAAGTGAACAGAAAAGCCCCGTCCCTGTGCCGACCCCGTGCCTGGTGGTCACACGGACAAGGCAGAGCGCCAGGCAGGTGACTTTTTTGTCTTCCCCGGAGGACGCAGGCCCACCAGACGCCGGCACAGCACACACAAGACCAGAAACGTGGGGGGCCCCAGGACATCAACACCTCCTCACTCTCCGTCCATCTCCACACTCAGAACATTTTACCCACATGTACGACTGTCACTTTCTGAGTGAAGAGCGTGACCCAGTGCACATGCACGTGTCAGGCTGGGGAAAGGCCGTGCGCTGCCTCCCCACGGCAGCCCCAGCAGCCTTAGGTGTCTTCTGACTTCAATGGAAACACTTCGTTAGATTTTACTGCGACAGCTGTCATGTCACTGGCGTTAAAAAAACCCATCAGGTTGGTGAGTTTCTGTGCAGCCACTTTATTACTGAAGGTGGAAGAAAATAAGCAGCACTTTGGGCACGTGCTTTACTATTTCCAGAAAGGTAACGACCAACTGAAACTCGGGGAAAGGTCTGAGCAGTGTGTGCAGAGGGCGCTGCGGCCGATCGCACGTGTCAGAAGTGGGTGCGGAGTTTCCTGCTGGAGGTGCCTCGCTGGACGATGCCCCCCGGCCGGGTGGACCGGCTGAAGCGCAGAGCAGCCCAATCAGGGCGTCAGCTGAGAACGACCAACGTCACGGTGGCAGACGGCCAACACGCCGGAACACGCCAACCAGTCAGGGGACTGGTGAACAGGAGAACTGCGTCTTTTACTTTACGGGAAAAACTACACAGACTTTCTGGCCCGCCCAGTGATTTGCTGATACACACACAGACGTGCAGCTTTCTCATGCTTCATTCTACAAAGGATCTGAGCACCTTATAAAAACAAGAAAACCAAAAATGCAACAGCTCAGAAACACCATCATGCAAAACGAGAGAGCGCTCATGACCGAGAAAATCACAAGCCTCAAAACTGACTGAAAAGTAAACGGCATCAGTCGATCTACTGGACCCAGGAGGGCGCGGGCTGCGTGGCAGGAAGAACGCACGCTCGCGCTGCGCAGGCGCGGAGGGCTGCAGGAGCCGCATCCCGGGGCACGGCGCTCCCCGAGTGACCGCAGGCGCGCACAGCCTGCGGCAGCCCGGGAAGGGCCCTCGGACACGCACCTGCCTGACAGGTTACCGAGCGCCCACTCCACACTGAGCGGTGCGTGAAGGGGGCAAGGACGACACGTCACAGGTGCAGGCGAGCTCCAGGCACACCTCCTTTCCAACAAGCTCACCAAACGCGCCACTGCCAACTGCGGCACGGAAGCCACTCACTGGAAAGGCAGTGAGACGCCGCAGTCGCTGCGAGCCGATGGCCCGTCTGTCTCCACACTGCACGTGGCGAGCGTGGCCGCACTAACAGGACCCAGACGGGGGCCAGGCGTCACCACCGCTGTGCACATGTGCACAGGCATGCACACCGGCACAGCCCGCAGGAAGCATCCAGAGTGTGAACACTTGTTTCAGGGCAGCAGGAGAACGGGCGTTTTAAAGCATTACGTCTCTCTGCCTTCTCTCCAGGACGCCCGTATCGCTTTACTGCCCAGGGACACATCAGAAGGAAGCCAACACTGGGAAGGACGTCGCCGCCGGTTACCTGTCGAGCTCGCCCAGCAGCGCCTCGCGTCTCTCCAGCTCCTCCAGCCGGGCCCACAGCGCCTCGTCCGCCAGCGGAGCCTCGGCCTTCACACCGTCGGAAAACTCTGCTTCGGCTCTAGCGGAAGTTTTGGGCTTGGAGTGAGGTTTATGA